AGAAATTATGTCTGGCTTCTGTAGTGAATGCAAGTGGCTTCCAGAAAAAAGACTGCGTTGTCCCCATGCCAGAAAGAGTTGCCAAAGTGTCCGGAAAGCGTGTCTCGGAGGAGGACAGTGTCACGGAATGACCTGCAAGTATCCGTGTGCGAGGAATCACAGGCACGCCATGAATGCCTTGCGTAGAAAAGCTGTCTGTCTCAATCGGAGCCGTGTAAACGTTCAGGCAACTTCTGCTTTAGTTGGAGGCCTCTCTTTGCTCTTCTGTGCATGCCTGTCATTGCCTACGGCGGGTTTGGAACTCTTGGCACACCTCGGTGTGTGGCGCGTGCCTGTGGGTGAATTCATGCCAGGGCTTGTCTGCTGAATTCATGCCGGGACAAACAGGTTGCGGCTACTGAAAGACCAGTCTGGAGTCGTCAGATGTGACGTGACAGATGCAACACACATCATTTTCTTTGTATCGCCAAGTAACCGAAAGCCCAGATTGTTCACAGTTTCCTGTTTTAAGCTTGCTTAAGAGTTACCTCTTTCAGCGGTTTATCAGCCTGTCACCAACCCTCCCTCCACCCCACCTGTCTTTCAGGACTGCCAAGCCCGGCTGCTCTCACACACTTGGTTTCCTGCTCTCTCTTGCTCTCTCTTGTCACTAGCTTAGGCTCAGACTTAGACAAAGCACTAATCCTGTTCCGCCTAAAGCCTGTTGGTGTTTTTTAATGGAAAGTGTTCATAGCAACCATGGATGGGATGTGTGTGAGAGATTTCCACTGCATAGCTTCAGCCATTTCCTCTTCTACCCAGTGGAAGCCTCCATCAATAAGAGCTTTCCTTCTAGGGTCAGTAATTTCTGGGCTGTAGTAGAGTTTAATTTTGTTGGAACTATAGTGGATGAAGACAGGTTAAACTTGTGTGCAGGATTCCCGAGGAATGCCATCCCTGCCCCAGTGCCTGCTATTTGCTCCCACTTAAAAATGCAGGGGTGATACCTAGGGCTGTGTTGGTGTCACCTCTAGTTTGGCCCTGAGGTTCCCTCCCTCCCTCTCTGAACGCTGTTTCGGGATGGGCAAAATGGCCAATCTAGCAATCTAGCAAAATGGCCAATCTAGCAAAAATACAGGATGGGAGGATGGGGATGGGGAGGCAAAGAGGATCCGTGCTGATCCTTCCCCTCTGCATGGGATGCTCGGAAACATCCGAGTTTGGGTGCTTATGATGCTTTTAGCAGGATGGTGTCTTAAATAAATAAATTCAAGATGCCTACAGAATGCCAGATGCTGTCCCTCAGGAATATGGGTTCGCATCTGAACGTCTGTCCATATGTATCTATCTAAATGTGCACAATGGTTCCAAGCAAGCCACTGGGCACACACAACTCTTTATGCTGTTCAGTGATCTACAGCATTTCCCCAGAAGCATTCCATGTCGTGGGGCCTTCCCGTTGGGTTTCTGCCCTGCGGATTCTGGGTCCTCCCTGGGAAGTGCCCTCCCTCTGCAAAAGCCGGTGTGTCTATCCAGCACAGCAGCACCTCTTGGTCATAGGAGTGCAGCTGCATGTACTTCCCTTTCAGGGTGGGAAGGAAAGTGCCGTAAGAAGCAGAAGCTTCAAAGGAATGTTGGTGTGAGCAAAGTGCTGGATGGCAAATATTTTAACAGTGCTGTAACACCAAGGGGTTGGCTTCAGGCCAGCTGGGCAAATGGTCCAGTGCCATTTTATAAGTGAATTCCCAGAGGTACATGATTGCACCATCTGTGTGTCTTTCCCACCCACTGGAGATGCTGACGGTTGAACAGGGCCAGTGTCCAGAGAAGGCATGGCGGGGCACCTGCTGGGGGCCCACGGCCAGCTGGGGCCCACTGACGAGGGACAGTGAGCCTGCTCCTCCCCTTCCCTTGGCAACCTGCTCGGCCACCTGCTTCTCACTGGCCCAGATGGTGGTGGCGGCGAGAAGAAGGGGCAGCAGATGCTTCTGTGGACCTGCTCAGTGCCTTTCTCCCTGCCACGGAAGGAGGTGGGTGAAGAGGAGGAGGACCTGGAGATGATGGCAGTGAGACAGCAGGTTTGCTGAAGAAGGGGGCCCATGCAGGGCCTCTTCCCACAGGCCCTCAGAAACTTGGAGCTGACACTATGCTAGTGACCCATATAGAAAGTGAGGTATTAATGACATCATTGCCTTTGCCCAGGCATGTATTAACTGGGAGATACAGACGGGGGTACAGGAGCTTGCTAGCTCACTTCTTCAGTGGCTGCAAACAGAGCAATGGCCTTGCTTGATGGCTCCATTTCACTGAAAGACAATCCCTGGAGGCTGAATCTGTTGTGGGGAGCAGCCCCAAGTATGCCCCCGAGTTGGTCCTCGATTTATGGATATCCAGACTTAGTCTCTCTTTGTCTTGTTGGCATGGCAGTCAAGGTCGCCCAACCTGGCAGCTGGATTGGCTAGAAGAGGCTTCTCATGGGAATGCAGAAAGTTGCTTCAACCAGGTCGGTCTATTGGTCCTTCCAGCCCAATATAATCCACAGTAAGTGGAAACAGTTCTCCAAGGCCCCAAACAGAGGGTCTTTTCCTTCTCCCATCAGATCCTTTTAACTGAAGGTACCAGGAGACTGAACTGGGAACTATTTGCATGCATAGCCTGTGCTTTGCTACTGAGAGGAAATCCCTCATTTTCTCGGGAAGGGAGAGGCAGAGAAGGTGAATATTTTAGAAGCAGTGATGCAACCAGAGCACAGTGGCTCTGTTAAGGTGTCTGTTGCTCAATACTGCCTTTGTTTCTTTTGCTGGTAGCGCCATTGTGAATAGCCCATCTTGGTATGCAGAAACAGCTGCACCTGGGTGTGAACATCAGTGCCTACAAAGAGGATTTGGGGATTTTGTAGGAATTTAGACTGACTTTTTTTTTAAGGATGGACATTTGTTCACTAAAAGATTGCACTTCTAATTCTTCCTTAGTGTTGCTGATAGTTCCACTAAGTCACTAAGTGTTTGTATCTCCACTATAGAAGCCCCTCCGTCCCTGCGGTTTTTGACATCAGTTATATCTTCATCTAATGCTGGGTTGATGCCTTCTGGTTTTCTAGCTGTTTTGGCATACAGTGTTCATCAGCTGTAGCCAACATAGCTGATGATGGGGGCTCATGGGAACTGTAGGCCAAAACATCTGGAGGGGCACAAGAGGTTGTTAGCCACCACTCCTGTCATTCATGAGCGTGGAACATGCTGGCTGAAATTATAGGCACTTGGCAACATCTGGGAAGCCAGGGTGAGAAATACTGATTAGAAGCATCTAGCTTGGACCATTACTAGGCAACCCAGTTGCACCTTATTTGCCAGAACAACCTGGAACAGATGTTAGCTCCTGTCCATGTGTCCTTGGCACAGGCCAGCCTTCCCCAGCCTGGCCCCCTCCAGATGTGTTGGAGTAGAGAGCCCATGCTGCTAATTGTGGATCAGAAGGCTGGCCTGGCATATTTTACTGAGACTTGGGTTGGTGAACAGGGTAGGGCTGATCTGAATACTCGGTGCAGCACCAGCCTGGGCTGGAGGACTGGTCGGGGTGAGCAGCTTCCATGTTTCCTCCTCTCTGACCACAAAACCACCCCACCTTGGAGTGGGCTTGATGGGACTGCGCCTCTTGCTGGGTCATGGAGACAGGTTGGGGATGCTCCCCAGCAGCAAGCCTGCCTGCCTGAGCTTGCAGAAGTGGTCCCAAGAGTGGTGTTGGAGGACCCAGGATGGTGGTTCTGGATGACTTCCATTCCATGATGAGGCTGCCTCTGTAGCCCCAGTACAAGACTGCATGGCCTCCTTGACAACCATGGGGCTGCCCCAGTTGGTCATTGCCCCAGCATAAGAAGTGGAGCATCCCCTTGATGTGTTCCTTACCCCAAGCTGTGAGATGAGTAATCTGAAAATTGGGGTGGAGGGGCTCCCAGGAACTCCCTTGCCCTGGCCCGTCCATTCCTCTCCTGCAGCAGAGGGTGACCATCTGGATGCGACTGAGGGAATCCAGCGGCCTTCTGAACACTCTTGGGGGTGTTCCAGTGGCAAGAGCAGCTGACCCAGCTGAGGCCCTACTCTTACTATGGAAAGGTGAGGTGCAGAGGGCTGTGGACTTGACAGTACCCAGGTGATGTGGAGTATTGGGAAGGTGCAGTCAGTGAAACAGGACACACATGGAACAGAAGCTAAAAATATTCCTCAAGCCTCATTTCCGGAGGTGGACAGGTCTGGGAGCACCAGCTACTGGAGGTGGACAGGTCTGGGAGCACCAGCTACCAGCCACCATGCCTGCCATATCTCTGTCATGAGATAAGGAGGTTTATATACTCTTTTAATGAAGAAAGCAATTGGGATAGCTGGGTCTTCTGCCCCCACTGGTAGCTTCTGGCACTTTCTAGAGTTTAAGGAGACATCTATGCATTCCTTTCCTTGTTAGTCTACGTGTTAGGTTCTGTCTTGGGAACTGGGCATGCTAGTGCCCAGGTGACCAGGGCCCCAGAAGCGGCATCTGTTCTATTGGGAACCCCTGCAGCTGAAGGGACTTCCCCCCTTTTCTTGTTTATTGATAACCTGCATCCATATTCCAACTTTATATTCAATGAATGATCTTTCACATGAGTGGTTTCTTTTCTCCTCAGCTATCCTCGAATCTGAGTTGAGGTGCTTGGTTAGACCAGGCTCCTGGCCTAGATAATACTGAGTGCTGGCCTAGAACTGCAGAGACCAAAGTTCAAATCCCCACGAAGCCGTGAAACTCATTGGGTGACCTTGGGTCAGTTGCCCAATCTTGGTCTGACCTAGTTCACAGGCTTGTTGTGATGCTCATGTGGAGACGCACATCATAAACCGGCTTGTCAAAATGAGATGGGGTGGAAATGCAGTAGCTGAACTCTCTCATGAGAGAAGAGAGTTGTCTTCCAGAAGAGAGCTGGTTCCATCCTGCAAGGGTTCTCTGTGGGCCTTTCCCAGTGGCAGACCTTGTTTCCCCTTGCCTTGCAGGTTTTTGGTGGCCTTGTTTGGATCCTGGTGGCTTCTACTAGAGTGGCTGAACCCATGAGTCAAGGCTGGGTGATGTTCGTCTCCGTGTTTTGCTTCGTGATTTCAACCTTGCTTTTGTTCCTGTATATGTGTGGTGCTCACTGTGGAAAATCTGCCTGGGTTACTCTGGTAAGTCTTTTGAGAGGGACGAAAACACCCTTAATCTCCTCCGACCCACCCAAAATGCAGGCCATGCGTTCATGCGTCAGCTGACCCCTTGACCCCACTCCTCGGCTTGTATTTATTATTTTGTGTATCATTTAAATTCATTAGGAGGATTCAAAGGCAGTGTATGTAACATGAAAGACTGACAGCAACCCCAGCATAAAAGTCCCCTAGTTTGCACTGAGCCGTAAATTAGACAAGACCTCTTCCACCACCATATGGAACAACAGCCAATTCAGTGTAAAATAACTCTGAAAGCTTTTTTAAGCTTCTAAAATAATATTTGTTTTAAAATACTAGGACAAAACAAACCATTTAAATGTGGTATTGAAAAGAAAATGAAGTTGGGACCAATCAGATCTCCTTTGGAAGGATATTCCAGTGTGGAGACGCTGGTTCTCTCCCTTGTGAATCATTTGTGTCTCCCACCGATGGTACTCAGAGAAGAGCCAGATGAACTGGCGCGATACACAAAGGAATGGTGCACCATGAAAATGGGGTGCTAAGTGCTCCAGATGATGCAGACTCAACTGCATGAAGATATAGGATTAAGACTTGCCCAGCTATCTATAAGAAGCCCATCCCTATAACTTGGCATTTACTCAGTCTAAAGAGCCAGGTGGCATTTCTTCCAAGGGCTGGGGAGAAACATGGATTAGGCAGCCATGGGTATCTAAGCATGAATTAGACACCCACGGCCTCCATGCCTTCTGGGTGTCTAAAAGTGACTGGCCAGCTTCTTCTGGAAGCACAGTGCTGGCCGGTTGGTCCTTGTTTGTTCTCATCCAGGCAGCAACAGAATCCCACAAGCCGTATGGTGCCTCTGGCTGTTTTAATGTCTCCCTCTGCCTCCAGACCAACATCTTGCTGTTGAAATGCAGTAACACAGGGAGGAAGTAGGTGGGTCTCCATCAGTGGGTCCCAGGGGACAATGTGGACCCCAGCCCACAGAAGGACTAGAAGTTTCAGAGGTGCATTTATGACATGGAAATTGGAGCAGAATTTTGCATGGTTTTCACCAGCACAAAGGGGCTGAGTTGCTTTATGATGCTGATATAAGCTGGATTCTGAATCCCTGAGCTTGGGGACTGTGGTTTGATTAAATTCAAACCAACTTAACTCACACAATGGATCCTGATCCTCCTAAGTGAACCAAGCAGAACAGCCTTTATGTGTGCAAGAGCAGAGAACTTAGTAGCTTGAGATTTTTGTAAATGTATTTTTACAAACCTGCAAAGGAGCCAGCAACTTAGTAAAATTTTTCATGGCCTTCTAACGAGTGAACTGGCTGAGAAGTCATGGACCACTATATCTTTCATCCACTAGCTTGATATATTTCCATGAAGAAATGAAGAAAGGGTCAGCCTTCATTTTCAGGCAGAAGGAAATGCAGTGATTTAGCAGAGGAAGAAACATAGAAGCAGAGCAAGTCAGAAGGGGTCTCCTGGGCGATCTAGTCTGACCCCCAGCTCCAGCCGGCTCCGCTCACAAGAAAGCAGCCTTTGGGGTCTTCCTCTGCTCCACCAGCCCACTGTGCTTCCATGCTGGTCAGAGAGGAAGGCTTTCTACTTCTTCAGAGGCCAGCATGGAAGAAAGTCAGTGGACTGGCAGAGGAGGCATTAAAAGGTCTAGCCCTCCTCTGTCCACACTCTCATGTGGACATCATTTCATTTATTTGCCTGCATGAATTCCTGTATACTTGTGGTGACCAGGGGAGTAGTTATACCAGTCTGTATTTGCGTTGAGACAAACCAATGATTCCCAAGCTTGAACATATGGGAAACAGCACTTTGTTGTAAGGTGGAAACAGATGCTTCCAGTATCCTCAGTTTGGCTATGAAAAACGAAGAGGAGAGAGTGTTCCAGTGGGTGGATGGAACTATCAGGAAGGCCCTCTTGTGTGCCATTACCTCACACCATACTATTGATAGGGAATGACTAATAAGGCCTTGGAAGACCTGGCTGGATTTTCTTCTCTGCATGTACTCCGTTCCCATGAAGAGGTATGCCCAGATCAGTGACTTCTGCAGGAACTCAACTGGTAGACTTCTCCAAAAGTGGGCAAACCTTACATGCTTTTGAAAAACACACCAGCCCCGTTTTCTTAGAAAACCACATGCATCCCCTGTCATTATTCACTTAATTTTTTACTAACAATGTCTTGTAAAACCAGCACTGTTAAATACTGATGTCCTGTCAGCCTGATGCAGGCACGTGAAATTTAGTATGGTGGAAGTATCAAGTGGGAATGCCAGACCTTCTATGGAAGCTCCTTAGATCTTTTGTGGTGGCTTTTTTCCAGGATGCATTCTACCATGTCATCGCTTCCATATTTTACTTGAGTGCAGCCGTTTTGCAAGCCTATGTGACCTATCTCATGAAGACCGGTGGAACATACAAAAACTACCAGATAGATATTGCAGCAGTGGTGAGTATACTTGACATCTTACAGCTAGGGTTGGGATTTGGGATTCCAATATGTTGGGATTCCAAGTATGTTGGAATCCTATCACCGCGCATCAGAAGCTTGTAACTCAGAGGTAGATATGCATCCACTGGCAGGAAGGAGATGCAGCGGTGGCATTCTCCACCACTGCTCCACGTGGGTTCCGCCCTTTCTCTAGGTGGCCATTTTCAGCTTTCTAGATTTAGCGTTAGGGAGAAGGAAGGAAGGAGCTGGGATTCTGAAGATTATGTTTGAGAGGCCAACTCCCTTTAAAACCCCCCTCTTTGTTATTGAAGTACCCTGATTAATCAGGCAGCTGCAGAAGATGATGACCCGAAAAAGAAGAAATAACAGAATCTGTAGCAGACAAGTAGCATTTTAGGATCAGAGGTTAAGAGTGTGGAGCTGGGATTCAGTAGTTCCAGGTTTCCCACTTTGGACCAGTCACAGGCTCTCTGCCCAACCTACTTCACAGGACTGTTGTTGTGTGGGTAAGACTGAGAGGAGGCGGATGATGTAAGCTGCCCTGAGTTCCTTGAAAGGAAAATAGGCAGGATATGAATTGGCAGCAGAAGTCTTCCTCCGGGAACCCTCTGTGAAAGATATTAAGAGACAGAGTACCTGGAGGAGGGCCTTCTCTGCAGTGGTGCCCCTCTTATGGAATGCACTCCCCAGAGAGGTCCACCTGGCACCGTTGTTATTTGTTTTTCGGTGCCAGGTTCAGACCTTTTTATTTCATCAATATTTTAATACATTTTAATATTGAATTGTATTATTGTATTTTATTAATTGCAGCCAGAGTGGGTTGTCAATGTATTTATGCTGTTAGCTGTCCAGAAATGTTAGTAATTGGACGGCATACAAAGTTAAATAAATAAATAAATATCAATAAAAATAAAGAAGAGGCATTCCATCTTATCCATGGGCCAAGGGCAGGATACCTCTTTGCTCTTTCACAGGATGAAATGCCTCTTCTAACCTTCTGTTATGACATGTATGCATGCATCACCTCATACATATATACGTGTATATGCACTTCTGAGCTGTTGTTTATATATTCTATGTGTTTAGCTGAAGGCCCTGATTGACTGCAAAGTTGCTTCTGGACAGAGAGGTCCGAGCACAATCAGTCATAGGGCGCTGGACTGCTCTTCCATCATCTCCTTGTTAAAGGATTTTCTGTGATAAGGAAAGGTGGAAGAAGCAGGGGGAAAACACGGGAGGGCTATAAATGGAAGACCTTGCCATTTGGACCTCCTGTAAAATTCTGTGAGTGAGACCATGGATTCACCCTATGAAAGCCTTGTCTGGAAGCCCCCTAAGTTTTCCCTTATGTGCTAATCAGCTATTAGTTGACTGTACCTACTTTTGGTTTCATCACAGAATTGAGATCAGAACACTCCACAGGAGCATTTCCTTTTCTGATTTCCTGTGATGCAATTTTCACAATACATACTCTGTTGTGTAGTGGAATAGTGCAAATATGCAGGAGAAGCTCACACTTTCATGCTCACAATTAACTCTTGCATTTCCCCTGCTCTAAGATAATTTGCTGGTTACCCACAGAAGAGAAAGTTCTGGGTCATGGTATTTTCAAAAAAGCCAGTACACAGCTCTGAATGGTGAGGGAAGAGCACATGACGAATGCCTCGGGTAGAGAGGCTTGTTGTTAGGAAGCGGCCCTTATACATGGTCAGGCTCTGGGCAGGTTCGCATGACATGAGAAGCCATCGTTAAAGTTTACCATTGTAGATCTTTTGTGCTGTCTAGTTTAGGGATGTGGTTGAAGCTCCATGGAATTCACCCCTCTAGCATTTGTGGACTTTCTCTTGTGTGCTGATGGATTCCTACCCTAAAACAGATTCCTCAAACATCCCTAGCCTGGACTCAGCTCTGGAGTTCCAGTTTGGTAGGATGAGTTTTCTGAAACCATGGAGATAATGAGCTCTCTCTCTCCTCCACCTCCTCCTCCATTTATTTTCTTTACTGCCCAGTGTCCAAAGATCTTTGGGCATTCCAAGGTCTCCGCACAATGCCATGGTTTCTTTGGTCCTTTTAACCAGGGATCACCATTGCGGACATGGAAACAACCGTCCCTTGCAAGAGAAGCCATGGAAGTGGCTACTTGTAGTTGTTGATGTTGATGCCCTCAGCCCTCTAGCAACAGATGTATCATTGCTAGCTTTGCTCCTTTTGGCTGAGCAATATGTCCTGGAAACAGGGAGATGGCACAAAAATACATGGAGGTAGAATGGAGGAATCACAGTGAAAAGAGTTCATTTTCATTTAATTAACATTGCTGCGTGCGCTGGAGTGACTGCAGACGTGCAGTATACCGAGGAGGGCGCAGAGGGGAAGCCCCCTCAGGACCACTCAGGAACAGGGAAAGGCTGTGAATTGTGCTCGCACAGGCTACTGGGATGCCTGGCTGGGTGAGTGCAGTGGTGCGTTCTGAAGCTGTGCTGCCTGGACAACCAGCCACCTGATTGTCTGACCAGTAAGTGCAGCCAAAAGTCTGCACACTGTGGAGACAGTGCGGGGTTGTTTGCCGGGTTGTGTGAACCCAGCCCCTGTGTTCATTTGGCCTAGTACTGTCTTCTCTGGTTAGCAGTGTGTCTCCAGGGTCCCGAGCAAGATGCCTGTCCCATCTGCTACCTAATTTCTCGGTGGAGGCACGTAAACAGTGGGGCCCCACAGGGAATTCTACTGGGAGCAATGCTTGTCATTGTGATTGGTTCATTAAAGATGGCACACAAATGTCTTAAATATAACTAACTAACTAACTGGCCAGGAATTAAAAGTGAATTCTGAGGAGGCTGGGTTTGCTGGTGGCACTCAGGGTGCTTATAAGAAACTGGGATTGTGAGGAGCATGGGAAAGTTCCCTCCAAACTGGGAGAATGGACATCGGAGTGCCAGATGAGGTTCAGTCCCAACATTCAGTCCCCAAAGGTCCCAACATTGCCTATATTCTGGCTTGCAGTGACTGACTTAAAAGGGGCTTTTAGGGTTGTGGAGGAAAGGTAGATGAACATGTTGGTCCAGTCTGTGGCTGGTGGCAAGAAAATAAATTTCATGATAGGCATAATTAGGAAAAGACTGGAACATGAGACTGCCGAGATCATGCTGTCCTTATACAAAGGTATGGTGTGGCTCCACTTGGAGTTCTGTGCATGGTTCTGGTCACCATATCTGGTAAGGGATGTGGTAGAGATGGAAAAAGTGCAGAGTTGGGCATCTAGCATGAGCAAAGGATTGGAGTAACTCCCCGAAAAGGGACGGTTATACCATCAGGGACTGTTTGGCTTAGTGGAAAGGCAAGTTGGGGTATACAAGATAGAGGAGCACAGAATTATAAATTGTCTAAAGGGAGAGGGAGACGTTTTGCTCTGTCTTCCATAACACTAGAAACCAGGATCATCCATAAGGCTGTTTGGTGGGAAATTCAGGACAATAAAAAGGATGGATTTCTTCACACTGCTTATAGTTAGATCAAGGAGATCACTTTCACAAGATACAATGGTAGCTACGAATCTGGATGGCTTTAGAAGGGGGTTATTCACATTCCTGGAGGATGAAGCTGTCAGTGGCTAGCATGCTGAAGACTGTCTGGTATCTCGATTGTGGTCGAAATGCCTAGTCAAGTCTTAAAGATGAAGATGTGGGGTGGTGACCAGGAATGTATCTGTAGAGACCAATTTCCTCACTCCACACCTCCTTTTATCTGTCTGGCATAATGGTGTCAGTTTCATTGCATAATGTTTAAAAGCCACAACTTATGCTGGGCTTGGTGAAGAATTCTGGGGTAGCCGCCCAATGCCCGCAGTGTGTCACTGCCATCGTACAAAGGGACACTTGTATTTCAGAGCACAACCCCAGAAATCAGACCTGGGAGAGGAGCTCTCTTCCACAACATCCCCTGAGCTGCTAGCTCAGGATATTTTCCATTTCCTGCCTCAAGCACATGCTTCCTGTTGCACTCGAGATCACAGCATTGGGCACAGGGAAAGAAACCTTTATCCACTTGAACCCTGTGCAGGCACTCAGACCGTGTACACTGAACTTGATGGACAGGAGTGAGTGCGCAGCATCCTGTATCTACGTGCATTCATCTGAAAGTCTGTAGGGACACCTGGTACCCATGGTGAAACCATCCCCTCCAGGTGCTTTATGCCCCATTTGGCTGGACAATCACAGGTGGTTTGGATCTCAACCCCTAGTGTTTGCTCCTTTGGCCACAGAGAGGACTTCTTGGAGTTGAAATCCAAAACACATCGGACCCAGGGGGCTTCTCTGGGTGAAGTCAGACAGTCCCACTGGTTTCAATAAGACTGTTCCTGATGAAGTTGAGGGCTCAGTGGAACCCTTAACGTCTACATTTGTGTGTAACCGTGACAGCAGCATTTAATGTTGCAATATGTATAAACAGTGTAATGGTAAAGTGTATGGGTTCTGTTGATGCATCATCGTTTGCGTGGCTGGAAGATCCTTACTAGAGAAGCATGTTCCTAGCTCAAAGGTTTGCTCATGCAGGGTTGTAGCTTTGCTTACAGTTTTGTCCCCACCATTCCCAGCAATAGGTCTCTGGCTCTCTTTCAACCATGTGAAGGTTGTGTCCTGTGAACGGGCACAACTAAGGTACTTATATTGTACCACTGGTGACCACTCTCTTTAGAAACACCTTTATTGAGTCATGATTTCAAGTTATGCCAACTGCAGTTTTGGATGGGTGATATAGCTAGGTGCTTTTTGAATGCAGATTATGTATCGATGATTTATATCACAGTGAAGACATAGTACCTATTAAACTGTCCTGCATATATTGATCCCAGAGAGAGATCCTTGAAGCCCTTGCTATCATATGGATACAGGAATGCCTTGGCAGAAACAGTTATTTTTCCTTTAGTTGTTTAATACTTATGTGACATGTAAAGTTGCTTTGTTTGCTTTGGCAGCAAAAAAGATCAGGAAGAGAGAATTAGACAAAATTGCTATAAACTTTATTGGAAATTGAGGGAGAAGTTAAAGATGAATTTCTGTTCATAGTATATTAATCCATTTATATTTATATTGTTTGAAATTCTTTATTTTGTTGTCTGTGTGCATACATTTGATGTATTTATCATGGCCTTTGACTAGTACAAACAACTTGTTTGAATAAATGCCTTTTTTAGAGCAGAGGAAATGCAGAATTTTATTTTAAAAGTGATAGAAACCTCTTTTTTAATTTGAGCATTTGTGCTTTTCCGCTGTACTACATTGCCACCTAGAGGTTATTTAGCAGAAAAAGCAGGAAAGGGAATACTTTTGTGTAGTGCTTGGATCTCAATTCTGTGATGAAACCTAAAGTGAATACTGCAGATTTAACAGCCTGGTGTGGAAAAGCTCTTTGTGAAGGGTAAGGAAAAGGAGAGATTTGAAGCAAGATGCATTGCTCAGGCAGGAAATTGGGGCATAACTGGGACTGGAGGAGGATATCTAGGAGGGAAACTAGCCCACAAATAGACACACAAACTAAACCTGCCAAATACAGAGACTAAATCTCCTTCCTTTGTTTTCTAGGTTTTCGCCTTTGCCGTTACACTGACCTATGTCATCCATATGGTATTCTCGCTAATAAGATGGAAAGCCTCTTAAAAATCCTGAACGTTCTTTTTAAAATGGATTTTGCAGGCATATTTGGTCTGTTACTATCCGTATGTGTCTAAGGACTGTCTGTCTTTGGAGATTTTGTATACCCAACCATGTGCTTTATTGTATTTTAACAGGAAAATCCATGTGTATCTATTTTTGATCAAACTCTTTTTCTCCCTACCTCTCTACTTCCCACATACACACAGACTGGGTCAGATGGTTTGCAGAATGGAGGAAGCTGGGGATCTCTCTGGCCTGTATTTGTATTAGAAGCCTTTTATGAAAAGGGAGGTCAAATTTGTATGATAAAACTTCACATAAACTTGTCAGCTGTGACCTAACGATTGTTCTTTTTGTATGCTTTCTTCACTGGAATATAACTCTTACATGTGCATAGTGAGGTGAGAATCATTTCCAGTCCACAACAAATTGTTGGGGTTAGCAAAAACCAAGCAAAGAAAACACCCAGGCATGAAGAGCTCCAACAGTTTTTCTGCAAATTGGGTAAATCAGTCTTCTGCAAACTGGCACTCTCCAGGTGCATTGAACTGCAAGCCCCATCATTCCCAGCTGTTATCCATGCTGGCTGGGAATAATGAGAATTGCTGTCCAACTCATCTGGAGGACAACAGGATGAGGAAGACAGCAGTAAATAGACACCTGGTAGAGACCTGGGAGAGTGCGATTTCTTTGCTGGTGGTCCATGTTTTAAAAAAATTATTCTTCCCTGCATTCCAAGAATGCTGATTGGCTTCCACCACAGGTTGAGCCTCACCTGATTGCTCCAGGTGTCATGAGCTGCTTCCTGTTAGTGCCCCTTCCATCACCCCAGTGGTAGATTTTTAAAAAATTGCTTCAGACATCCTTGCCTACAGTCCAGAAAACACAGAACGAAACCCTGTGGAATATCCTAGGAATACATGGAGTGCTTTAGCAAGGGTGCAGTCTTACATATGGGAAAGGGTTTAGTGCAAATTTATTTATTCGTTTGTATAAAAGTCACCTGTTAGCATCATTCACCTTTCAAATGCTGCAACTGTATGTTCAAATATTTAAAGAAAATTTATGATGGGAAGGGCAGAGGGAGGAGAAAAAATAACAAGGCAACCAAGACATACACTCCAAGTTCCAAATAAAACCAGTACCACCCATCCAGCATAGCTAGTTCTGCGTTTCCTCTTTAAGTAGAAACTTGGGTTCCTAGTTCCTTGGAGAGATGATGCTCTGAGAAGCAGTACTTGGGTCCCCTCATTCCAGGAATCCTTCAACTGGGAGGAAAGTCTCTCCTGTTCATGGGAATCTGAGATCCATGTAAGCATGTACTTGGGAGAGACAAACTGTCACTTTGTCCTGTGTAGGAAGCTCCATTTCAGTCGGTGGTGGTATATTTATTTATTACAAACATTTCTATCTCGTCCTTCCGACAAGCACTCAGGACAGCTTACACAATAATACAATATTGAAACACTAGCCTTTTAGCCTTGCGAATGGTAGTGGTATTAGTAGGCTTCCAATGTTTTAGTTATAGGAAGTAGTTCTTGACATTTCATTACACATTGTTTTGAGTAGATAAAACTGTTAAACCAAACCAGAGCGTAATAAATACTATATACACAAACACAATAAAATAATGGGGAAGGAGTATAGCCAGACAAACAGAAAAGCATTTAAAGACTGCATCTACCTGTTTTATGGCTTGGCCTCTTAAAGTATGAAAGACCCAACCAGTTTAACTAGTTATAGCACTATGAGAAAGAGCTTAACTTCTGGATGTATAGTGAAATGCAAAAACGAGAATGTGTGTGTGGGGTTTTTTTCCTTTCTTTCCAGATTTCTCAGTGGAGTTTCACAATCCTATATTAGCCTTCCCCGACCTGGCACTCTCCAGATTTTCTGGACTGCAACTCTAACAAGCCTTACTTTTGACAATGTTAGCTGGTGCTCTTGGGAATTGTAGTTCAACAACATCTGGAAGGCATCAGGTGAGGAAAGGCTGTCTTGCATGCTCTTGGAGGCACTATAAGCTACAGCAGAAGTTTGCTGGGCGTTTGGCACATCAAATGTGGTTCAGTGTAAGAAGATGTCATCCTGTAGCCCTAAAATCTAACTTTATAGTGATGGGGTCTGTGGGTTGGCAGTGACTGACTAGGAAAGAGATCTTGGGCTGCAGAGCTAATTGAAAACTCAAAGTTCAACTTCTGTGAAAAAGTGAATGCTGTATTAGATGTCAGTAGGAAAAGGATTAAAAATAAAATGACCAATATCACAAAGCCTTTATATAAATCTATGGGGCAACTGCACTTGGAAAGATCTGTATAGTTCTGGTTAGCACATCTCAGAAACATTATGGTTGATTGAAAAAAGGTCCAAAACAGGCAATCCGAATTGGGTCAAAGCAATTTCCCAATAAGGAAAGGCTTTTGTGTTGAGAGAGAATCTGTTCTCATTCTAAGTTATGAAACCATAGCTCTGTTGGGATATTCTTGTTTAGGGAGAAAGCGAGTGGGGGGCGCATGCGACTCACCTTTATACAACTATGCATGTGGTGGAGAGAGATGGATTTCTCCTTTTCTCAGAATACTAGAACTAAGGGCCATTGAACAACACTGAGTGGTGCAAGATTCCAGGGAGACAAAGGAGAGCAGCACAGAAGTTGTTCTGCCACAAGATGTGGTGATGGACACGGACCAACTCAGGTGGCTTAAAATGAGATTAGACACACTCATGGAGGGCACCAATGGCTATTAGTCGTGGCTGCCATATACTGTTTCCAGGACCAGAGGAATTATATCTGAGAATCCCTCTACCTGGGGATCAGTGTCCTGATTTGCTATGGCCTCTGTGTTCCATACTGGACTTCCCATGAGCACCTGGTTAGGCACTGGGGAACCAGGATTCTGGGCCTAGCAGGCCTTAGTCCTGCTTCGGCATGTCTTGCCATCTTTGTTTTCTGTGAGAGAAGTCCTTGCCTATGCCACACGCAGGACACAGGAAAGAAGTTCTTCCTCTACTCTAAATTTGGTACGAACAGAAGAGCCGTGGCAAATCACACCAAGGGTCCCAACGTTATCTGCATTGTTGCTAATGAGCTGCCTGTGGGTAGTGCAGAACTAAAACACAAGCGATTATTATGAAAGAGGGAGAAAATGTCTCCTTATCCATGTTCTCCACACCATGCCTAATTACGTGCATTTCTATCTTCTCTCCCTTTACTCATCGTTTTTCTTAAGCTAAATCATTCCAGGCATTGCAATCTTCCCTCACAGTGGAGTTCCTCCAGCTCCTTGATCATTTCTGCACCTTTTTCTCTCTACAGTGTCCTTTTTGGGGTCTGGTGACCCACTGTAAAGAGGACAGAAACCTTTTTGGCCATGGACACATCTGACAATTTGAGAAACTCTCCTGGGCATCATTACACCGTGGCTGCCGTGGGAGGTGTGGCAAAGGACCAATAACATGTCCCAAGGTCCGATTGTAAGGGAGAGGCAGTGAGCCAAAACCTGGACACTAAACAATTTCTTTCAACCTCAGGGTCAAACACCATCAAGAGCCCATTTCAGAGCCATTAGCTTCTGCTAAGAAGCTAAGTTACTTTAAAAAGTGGGAGGGGTGGTGGGCAGCTTGGTGGATGCCAGGGAATGTGCCCATGGGTGCGTTGGTGCCTACAGGTTCTGCCTTGCCTGCAGCAATATGCTAGGAACACTAGGCACGGACATGTGTCACAGCCCCACCTCGCCAATTCATACATGGCTATTTTTATCTTTTACAATCAACATGGCTAGGTGACTCCTTTGTACCAGCTGGGAAACCGCAAGAGGAGAAGGAACTTAGATGTTCCAAAAAATATTATCAGATGTCTGAAAAACGCTTTTCATGCCCTATGTGTTTCAGGAAGGACTTTCCTTTTCCGAGGCCCTCTTATCTTTCTCCAAATATGTCACAATATTCTTTGTGACACAGCTGAAGAAAGATAAGTGCACCCCGAGGAAGCATAATCCTTTCCAGAACACGTTGTGCAAAAGAAATGCATAAGAATATTTTCTGCAGCATACACTCCATTGTGCTACTTCAGGAGGTTCTGCTGGGAGATTCCAAAAGTACCATACATTGTGAAGACTTCTCTGCTAGCCAATGGCTTGCCTGTGCTTGCCATTCTAGAAAAATTCTAGGATCCGCTGTTTGGGAGGAACGGCCTGCCCACAATGAATATACAGAATTCCTGAACTTCTCATGACCCAGGAAAGGAAGGGCATCTGCTTGGCATTCTCTCATTTATCAGATGACAGCACAGGTATGCATGTTTGGACAATAAATTCTTAGGGAACAGGTAGAACAAAAAGATCCTGGGGCATCCAGAGGTAAGGAGAGGGCATCCTTAAATGTACTGCTTCTTTTGTGAAGAGTCCAGCCCAAGAGCCTAATAAATTCTGTGTGCTTTAAGCCTGCTTCTTGTAAACCATGAGAACTATGTGGCAAAACTGCTCGGGGGAGGAAATTCCTGATCCAGTTCTGGGCTCAGTCCCTCCAGCACACAGATGTGCACCTGTGGAGTGGCAGGTTATTAAAACACGAAGGACCTCTGCGCATTGTGCCAAGAGCCAGTTTGTGCTGGCAAAGACACACTTCTTTGGAACTTATCTCTTGATAGTTATAAAACAAGGATTTGGTTAAAAACAAGATGTGCAGTGCCTCATTCCAAACCAGACAGGACTGCTATGTAATATAACATTGATGTTATGCAGTACTTAATGTCTAAAATGATCTTTACTATCATCATCAAGGGTGCAATTCTATGCAAGCACAGGAAAAATAACTTGCAGCATTCCTCAGCTAGTTATAGTATGGGAAATGCTGGGAGTTGTAGGATATTTTCCTGCATCAATGTGCACAGGATTGTACCCACAACCAGATTGGTCCCAGAGCTATTTTATTTGTTTATTTATTTATTTGACTTGCATGCTGCCCTCTTAGCCATAAGGCCCTCTGGGCAGCTCAGAGCATGTTGCACAGCAATTGAAAAATAAAATTCATAAGACATTTAACAACTGGACCTGATG